AGAAAAAATTTCCTCAAAATTTATAGGTAACCTTCTGGAAGGTGAATCTCACGCGCCTCACCTTTCTCTCCCAAGGCGATGAAACGCAGAAAAAAAAAATTCTTGAACCCCGATCTTTGATTTCGCCTGGACCGGTTGCCGGTGGCTCCGATTAGCACTGGCTCCGGTCCCTTCTGTCTTTCTTCTTGCTTTGTTTGTGTATAGGGTTTTCTTTTGCCCGTCGTGTCGAGTTTTGATGAGTCGGGTGGAGGTGGTCTGAGCTAGCCATCGGAGTTTGGATCAGTGTTTGGACCAGAGGTTTTCAGTGCCACTGACGGAGGTCGGAGCACGCCGTGAAGCGTTGGGCCCTTTGGTCTCTGGTCATCGTGTCGAGGTTCCTGAATTCCGTCTTGACCGGAGCTCGCCGTTGGAGGTCTTCGGTATGAACAGATATTGYGGTTTGCTGGTTTGATTTCTTTATGTTGGTTAGATKGCGGCTCTTCCTCTGATTTTCTATCAGAACTTTTTGAATCCAAGTGATTTTGGTTATGTGTACGAGTCCTTCCGATGGGATAGATTTCGATTCATGGTATTAGTCTCTTGGTTTTGGGTTGTTGATGGTGTTGATCGAMTTRTGTTAAGCCTAGGACARYTGATGTTCCAGGRWTTTGGTCCWTGAGGCGGTGATGTTTTAGTTTTAGGATTAGTTTGTGGGTCGGGTGATGTTTGGGCRTGTGAAGCTCGTGTTGAAGGCAAAGGCAGATTAGTTTTGATTTATTGGTATGAGGTTTTAGTGTGGCGAGTGAAGTTAAGTTTGTGGTTTGGCTGTGGTCCGGGCTCGTGGTAGTAGCTCGTGATGAATAATGCGGCGGACTTATAGACTGGTGGTTTCGCTGGTCTTTTACTCGCATGATCCGCGGAGGCTTGGATTAACTTCGTTCTACGCTTTCCTTTACTCRTTGGTGCTTTTGAGCTCTCCAATCTTTGCTTGGTTGTGTGATTTGGTTACTTTGAATTGAGTYCTCTTCRACTCTGGTTATGGYGRAATATATGGCGTTGGTGATGATGAAGATGTTTACGTGGCAGGTYCTTCTTGTCCAACAGCTCAGGGTTCTTACAYTTYGTTTTACGATTAATTCTTCATGYTGCGATACTTTTCGACAGCTTTCCCTTAACAATATTGGGTCAAGTATCGTTGAAGAATAAATCGGAGGAGTGTATTGGATTTGCGTATTTCTTATGTTTGGTGGTTTTCAATGCTTTGGTGTTTGAATGCTTTAATTATGTTCTAAGGTTGGCTTTGGTAGGTATGTACTACTTTGTTTGGGAATTGATGTTTTCTCGATGGTTTAAGTTTGGCTTTGTTAGGAATGCTTAGTTTGAATATGTAATTAATCTTGTATCTTTTTTGTTTAATAAAAAATTCCAGATGACAAAAAAAAATCTAGGTAACCTTCTCTTTGAGATGTTCTAACAGTATTTAGCAGCTAGCCACTCAAACAAAGACACGTGACCTCTCTCGAGTTTACCGTTGAAAGTAACATTTCCCACTTGCATGGTTCCAACATGTGCCGTACTATACAGCCAAAATGGCCAAACCATTTTAATATTTCTTTTCTCTATTTGAACATTGAATGTAGAATGTAAAAGTTTGTTTTTTACAAGTAGAATATTAGTTTATTTCGCTATGTAGAAATAATTCATTTTTACATGTAAGTGGATAACTATTTTTCTATGATCAAAAGTTTGTGTATAGTTACTATCTAATTTGGCAAAAACAAAAATTTTCGTAGGTGAAGTTAATTAAATAAGACTTCTTGAAACTTATAGCACGAATGTATTTCTATTTCTTATACCTAAGTAGATATAAATTAGGACAATTTCAAAAACACCATTTTTGGTATTTAAATTTGCAAAAATGCTACTTTTAGTGTCTATTTGTAAAAATACCACTAATTATGATTTTTTAGAG